CACCTCTCCCCTACTGTCACATTTGCTTCAATCATGCCTACTTGTTTTACCTACAAGAATTAACAACTCTTGCCTTTACAATACGCTCATTCCATTTCTGCCCAGCCAACTGCCCTATCCAAACCATTCCTTTCTACTTCTATGACTACTAATCTCCCTTTGAATGCTGCAAAATGAAACTCCTCCAGGAACCCACTGGATGAGTTATTTTCTATTTTACTCATCCCTTCTAATTTGAAAATCTATTATAACTAATCCTTACATCTTTGCAAGATATTCATAGTATATACTTTTGTACTTCTTAACTGGTTATTTTTTTTGAGACAGGGTCTCACTCTGTCACCCAGGCTGGAGTACAGTGACTAGATCACAGTTCATGGCAGCCTGGAACTCTCAGGCTCAAGTTACAAGTTATCCTCCTACCTCAACTTCCCAAGTAGCTGGGACTGCAGGCATGTGTCACCACACATGGCTATTTTTTTTTTTTTTTTTTTTTTTTGTAAAGACAAGGTTTCAATATGTTGCCCAGGCTGCTCTTGAGCTCCTGGGCTCAAGTAATCTGTCTGCCTTGGCTTCCCAAAGTACTGGCATTACAGGAATGAGCCACCGTGCCCAGCCTTAACGCTATCCCTCACAGATCTTTCATAGCGCTTAAAATTAGATGCTAAATTGTGTAATGCTGATTATTCTTTCATATTGTCCACAGTGTTTTACATATTTTTTAATCTTTATAACTTATGTTTCCCAGAGGTAGACAGAGATTATTTGTATCCAGATAGATTTATGTTAGATATATGGGAGGAAGGTCAAACCATGCTTCATCTCCATAATCTCTAATATGATTGGTTCCACTCACAGGAATTCACATGAGATTAAGAATAGTTTGTCTTTTAATTTATAAGCCCCAATAGTGCCAAATATAGAGATCAAGAGACAATGGACAATAAGTATTTGGGCATATTCTTAGATATTTTCTAAATTTCTAGGCACCATGAGCCTAACATGTTCACATCAAACAAGAAATGAAAATAGGAGAGGATTTATAAGTGACCGAGTAACTGTGTGTGTGTTGTATCTCTGTCAGCTTCCCTCTTCATACACGTTACATACTATATGTCAACTTATAGAAACAAGGCAGAAACCTAAGCAGTAAGTCTAGGACTATGTGTTACATCATTATCTTATTTAATAAACATGACTATCTTACAAGTTATTTTTTTTTAATCTTAAAGATTAAAATAACCCAAATGAGGTTTAAAAAAAAAAAGCCCCAAATCATATAGCTAAGTCATGACAGAGCTAGAATTTAACCCAAGTCTAACTTCAGAGTTTGTAGTCAACTACCATGCAGTATATGACCCAGAAAAAGTCTTCCATTCTTGTATGTTTGTTAAGTGGGGCTATTGGGAGAATATGGTAATGATTAATTTATATAAAATATTTCAAACAGTATAGTATCTTACACATAATACCCAATAATCTGTACTCACTCTCATTACAGTATACTATGACAGGGTTAAAAGGTCAATAAAACATGCTTCCTGCCCTTGACAAATCTAATAGGGTATTGTGGTTAGGCTTCTCAAATGGCACTCCAGTGGCTCTAATTCAGTGGCTCTTTGCCCATGAAGATGATGAGATATCACATCCATGACTATATTGCATGCAAAAGGTATTTCTGAATCAGTTGACCTGGAATCACTCCAATTATCTTGAGTATCCTAGAGATTACCTTGGTAGGCATTCCTCATCTAATCACATGAGCCCTTTAAAAGCAAAGCACTTTCTTCAATTGGTAGCAGCTGAAAAAGTCAGAGATTTGAAGCATGAGGAAGGCTTGATGCACTGTTGCTGACTCTGAAGACTGAAGGGGCTACCTGCAAAAGCTGGAACATAGTTTCTAGGAGCTAAGAGTGGCCCGTAGCCAACAGCTAGTTCTACAAGCATTGGAACTGAGCATAAAGTACCTAGTAGGGCATGACAGGTTGGAGCTGGGTTGTAATGGTTTCTGTAAACAATGTAAGGTATTTGGACTTTTTATTCTGCTACCATTGGCAGTACATTTTAAAATAACCTTTTAAAGCTAACTGAAAATACCTTGACTGAAGAATCTAACACAGTATGTGTATGAGTATATATTTATGTATGTATGAAATATCTACAGTTTTATATTTTATATACATAAGACACATGTTTTAATATTTGAGGTAAGTGAATAATTCCTCTTACTATTCTTCTCTCTGTTAATATAAAACTATAAAATTGGCACAATTCAGCACTTATTAAGATGGCTAAATTCAACAAAAATGCATCCATTCACAAAAATAATTTTCTTTTGAGTAAACAAAACATAAAAATATTTTGAAACAAAACACCAAAAAGTATTCATTTTCAACAATTTATTTTGATATCTTGAAAACATCTGACATAATTATGTATATACAAGATCTTTTCAATCTACCTCTCCTTTAGTAGTTACATTAAGAGATTACCATATGTCTCAAAAGCAAACTGCTACAATTTAAAACACAATTTTCCATGAGATCTGGAATGGTCTTTCTTGATTATCAAACATGCCAGGATTAGTATTTTCTCCCACACTCAGATAAATAAAAAGGTTGGTTAAAATTTCTGTAACTTTTTTGTTATTGTTAATTGAATGTAAAGGTAGTTTGTTTCTCTAAGCACATTGATTAGTCGGCCTCTCTCCCTAGATAGAGGGAAGGTTTTTTTTTTAATGTTAATATTTCTGATCACGCTACAGGTTTAGAAATAAAATGCTGAAATAACACAACTGAGCAAGGATTGTTCATTTCTCTCCCCCTCCTTTGGGGTCCTCTGTAGGAATAAAGTACTGAGGGAGGTGCATTAAAATAAGGATACTCCTTGTGGCTAGCAGCAACTGAATATCCTAGGTACCTAATTTATTGCAGTGGCTTAAGCTCTGGGGAAATTCTGGATCACTAAACTACAACTAAATTCTGGATCACTATAATGTTATATCAATGGATTTGTTTTTTTTTTTTTTGTTTTTTGAGACGGAGTTTCACTCATGTTACCCAGGCTGGAGTGCAATGGCGCGATCTCGGCTCACTGCAACCTCCGCCTCCTAGGTTCAGGCAATTCTCCTGCCTCAGCCTCCTGAGTAGCTGGGATTACAGGCACGCGCCACCATGCCCAGCTAATTTTTTGTATTTTTAGTAGAGACGGGGTTTCACCATGTTGACCAGGATGGTCTCGATCTCTTGACCTCGTGATCCACCTGCCTCGGCCTCCCAAAGTGCTGGGATTACAGGCTTGAGCCACCACGCCAGGCCTATCAATGGATTTTTAAGAGTATACTTTAAGAAGGATTACGTGTAAACATTTTAATAATGTTAATCACACCACAGCTATTAGAATGTCAGTCTTGTAAGAAATGGCATCAGCTATTTGGTATGTCTTTCTCTGATTAAACTGATTCCACCACACTATCTACTTCTATCAGTGTAGTCTAGAGGGAGCACTTAAAGAGAAAAAGTTAGAAATGTCTGCACAAATAAGCTCTTTTAACGTATAGAAGTTTCAATCACATGACTTGGGCTTGCTTACCAAATACCTTTGGTACTTTAAAAAATGTATGTCCATGATATAATACTTTTTAATCCAGAAGTTTCACCCATATTTAATTTAAAAATGAAAATTATAAGCAAATCCAATTACACAAGCATGTCAGAAAATAATACACTCTAATATATTTTCAAATGAAGACTTGTCTTTAAAAACTCAAAGGTAACATCTTTCCCAGAGTTAAGTAAAAACATCTATTACCCAGAATAAGCAGATTTCATTTAACTATTAATAGCAATGAAACAGTTACACCTAAACGTGTAAACATATGTAAACATTTAAAAATAGTAAAGTCTTTGAAATGTAAGGGCAAAATGTCAACTCTGTATTATAATTTAAGACGAATAGCGAAGACAGCTACTAGAATATAAAAAAAATGGTCATCAGTTAAAGTTTAATTACTGTTCAATTATTTACTCTTTAACAAGAAAATGAGTTTTGATAAATCCAGACCACAGAGACAGCTATTTTTCTTGCAGAACATTTCTTGCTCATGGTGCAATGCAGCATTCTGTCTATCTAGTATAGTTGTACCACATTCGTGGTAACACAGGTGATTACATTCAAATGGCATTTAACGTAAATTGCACCAAACTGCCCTATAATTTCATTTTGGACTGAATTAATTAACTTCTCAGTAGGTGACTGAGGTGCTGAACATAAGCCTAAAGAAATACTTGACTGCTTAACCTACCTTATGTGAGTTGTCTCTAATTCAAGACAGCTTCCATTTTTAATAAATAGTACCAGGTAAAATGCATTTAGTAGGATCCCAAAGGGTAAAGATAAGGCATTTATAATAAATGGATTTAGTTTTCCACATATATTCACATCCGTTTAAAAGAAGTCAGGGGGCACTGCAGACAGTTAAGGAGGATTTAACAAAACTCAGCAAGACTTGGCATGACTGATATTTTTGAAAGACTATTTACCTTAGGAGGTGCGTATGTAGAATTTTAAAAATGCCTTCTTTGCCCTTGCAAGGTATTAAAATAAAAAAGTTACCACTTAGTTGCAATTAAAAATAATGCTATCTTAATGCAGAATATGTAAATTATATCCCAGAGCTTGAAATGTAAATGTAATTATCTAAGACATGATCTTTAGATCATCAGAATTATCATATCATAAAATATCTATTTATTTCCCCAATTATAATGTTATTATCAAGAGCTGACAGCTAACTCTTTGTTTCCAGTTTATGGTCTTCATATATCAAGAAACAAAAGGACAAACAAGGTATGTGAAAGCTCATAAAAAGCTGAAGCAGCTTTCATATTACACGGCATATTTCTTTGTCATAAACTTCTGGTTTAAGAAATGAGAAAACAAACACTTCTTTTGAAACACTTTTGACACATTGCTTAACTATTTTTAGATTTTTTTTTAAAAACTGTAAAGGAAGGGAGAAAGAAGAGAATGAGGGAAAGAGGGCTTTCCCTTTGGGGATGAGACTGAGAGAGAAGACGGGGCCAGAGGAAAAAAAAAAAAAAAGAAAGAAAAAAACCAACTTTGTATTATAATTACACTCTTTTGGGAAGGGGTAAATCAGCATTTCAGGAGCCGAAGACATCAGGCCCATTTCAAAGACTTGCAACATACAGTAACCTGGGCCCCCAGAAAGAGACTGAATAATTTGGTGGGGAGAGGGTGGTGGTCCTTGCTCATGCTTTGAAATGGTTCTAGGTAAAAAGGGCTTCAAAGTTCTGCTCTGAGGACCCAACTGCTAAGTAATTTCTATATGATTACTTTCTTTTTCTTGTACAACTTAAATCCTTCCTGCTATTATGTGCATGAGGAAAAATGACAAGAATATAATCTAGAAGTTTTAATACTGTTGTAATAAAGGAAGGCATCAACTAGGAAAAAAAAGGAATGCTTAGATGCCAGTTTCAGAAACAATTTTGGCTGCAGCATTTTCTAGCTCTATAATTCTGTGGCAATGACAGTCACAAATGCTGTCAAAAACAGCAATGAGGCTTAAAAAAGTAACTAAAAAATTCAAACAATATCCTTTAGATTTTTAATGTCACTTACTGAAACAGCAATCATACAGCAATTTATGAGAGCCTTCTAGTTAGATAAAGTAAACCCACTTTTTAAGGTTTCCATACATGTTATGATCTCTGTATGCCATCAAGCAGACAGTATCCTCTCACCAAACACTGTGTCTGTCCTGGTGTTACCGGTCACAAGAAACCTTTTGTTATCATTACTCCCTCAAGATTCAATTCTTACTAGGAGTCCTGGGCAAACACAGAAGTGACCTGGCAGTTACATCATTCTTTGTAAATGAAAAAGACCCTGCTATCTGAAAATAATGAAAGGCTCTGTTTAAATTAATGTGGGTTTTTTTTTTTTGTCAAGTGTTCGTTTTATTTTGTAATAATGTAGTTCTGATCCAAATAGAGTTCTTGCTAGCTTTAAAAAGATCTCAAGAGATTATACACAGGGCAGCAACTTAATTCTTAGCTTTTATCTCTTGCAATGATATTTAGGGTTCAGTGTGATTTGAGATTTTTAGTGCTGCTGCTGACACCTTATGGAAACTGTTTTATTTGGAAATTCTAATTCGATTTTTAAAATTGTTCTGCTCTTGTTTACAAAAAGCATTATTATAAAAAATGGATTTTTTTTTTTTTTGTTCCTTATAAGGTATTTTTCTGCTATTTATTCCTCACTTGATTTTATAATCCTGTTTGGGTCACTATGATTAGTTGCTATGGAAATTACCTCCTATGGAAATGACTCCAATGTCACTGTTGTAAGAATATGACTTCTAATGAATGATACCGCTATCAGACATCAACCTTACTAGGACAAGGAAATCTAATTAAAATTGTAAAAAAGAATTAACTCTGAAAATTATTTTCCATGGTAGCCAACTTTTCCAGTATTTTTGAATCTCCCATCTTCTTTTTAAATAAGAGTTAAATGAATTTCAAGGTGTTAATCATCTACTCACTTTCCTAAATTCCAAAGCCACAATGGAAATTAGCAACACACACAGAAAATTGAACGTAAAGAGAATTTCATCTACCATTTCTCTAAACTAATAAGTGTTATGCTTCATTTATGAAAGTTAATGTCAACAGGATTTCAGGGCTCATAAAGGAAACAAGTCTGAATAGCACATTACAAATTCCCTTTAAAGATGAAGAATTTAATATTCCAAAATTTGTCCCAAGAATTTAAAAGGTCAGCCTATAAACTAGTGAGTTAAACAATAGATGAGAGCCAGTGAACCATTAGATGAGAATTCCAGAATGCTAAGAAGAGAATTTTCTTGGGTGGATTCTATAATTTGTGGTTTGAACGAAACCTTTGAAACATTCCATTAGTATTAAAATTCTCACAATGAGAATATGGCTCATATTTAACACATTTTAAATTACTAGACAGTCTCTCCCCAAAAGAAATTTTAATGCTTTATTCTGCCTAGGGCTTATTCACTGCCTGGTACTAATTTAGGAATAAATTAACCCTTCCAACAATTAGGATATTGTCTGGAAACTGCCTCTTGCACACTGCTGGAGAAATCACTTACATTCTGAAAATCAGGAGTAAAAAGAAAAAAATCCATATCTTTATTATGTTTTTCTATACCTAATAGCTTATTAATTATTGGTATAAATCACTATCATATTTACCTATATAATTATACATTACTCAATTTATAATGCCTCTGAATTAAGCATTACAGTTATAGATTTTGTTAAATGTTTTATCATTAATTGTTTTCTATACTTGTGCCTGCAGCCATGATCTAGGGTCCAGAATGTCTTTGATGGATTTCTGCCTTGGAGCTGGCACTGGCTTGCCTTCAGAATTGGTTTTAGTGTCTGCATGCTCACCATCACTTAATCTTTTTTTTCCTGGCAGGGAGAAGTTTTCGAGGAGCAGCCATTGGTTTCTGTAAGTGATGCATTAGGATTGATAGTTTGGTATCCAAAGGTGAAGTCTGAGACACACTTGTTTTTCCCCAGTTGTCCTTAACCAATTGATCTGTGTTACTCTGTGATTTTAAGCTGAATGGAAGTTTATCAGAAGGGGGAAGGGGAGCTCGTCTCTTTTTCCCTTTTTCATCATGTAATGGCTCACCTGCAGGAGACAGTACCTTTTTCTGGATGACCATTTGATGGTTACCATCAAAGAGTGTCGCCCAAGGAGGTGGTAAGGATTCTTCATGCTGACCAGTAAGGAACTGCCCATTTGTCTCTTCAATTTTTCTTTGTATTATATCCGTTAAACTTTCAAGTTTCATAGGTGAATCAATGCCTATAATTTTAAGAATACATGAAAAAATTCACAAGCAGTATGCACTTGATCAGAATAAGTTATTATTTTCCAAACTAGTATGCTATATATAATGGTCAAAGACTATGATAAGGAAAATGTTTGCTTGTAAAAATAACCATGCTATCAGAACTAAAAAGATCATGCAATACACTATATATACAACATTTTATATGTAAACACACATATACTATATAAAACATATATGTAACATACATATAATGTACATAATACATACACATGTATAAATATATTCCTAAAGAAATTAGCAAAATCCAGCTTTCAAAGAAGTGGAATTATATGATTTTTTTAAAAAATTCTATAGATTAAGTATTTATGAGACAACATTTCTTGGATTTAAAACCTTATTCTGACTTGTAGGTAAGAGATTTCCTTTTTACAAAAGCTAGATGTATATTGGGATGACTGAAATTGGATGAGTATTCCTGTAGACCAGCAAAGTCTCTGTTAAAAGCGAAAATGCTTAAAACCAAAAACCCAGGAAGAGAGTAAAGCCCTCATACCACTTTGGTAATAAAGGTGCCGGTTGAAATTTCCCTTGGGAAAAATAAAAGAACAGAGATAAATATCAAATGAATTACTGGTATTTTAAAATGTGTGAACCCAAATGTACCATTTTTAACATAACATTTTAAAATGAACGTAAGTACAGATACATTAGTGGCAAGTTGGACAGAATATAGACTGACTTGCATTTGTTCACAACATTATTCACTGAGGCAACTGCACAAAAATAAACACCTTTCAAGAAACTGAATATTAGTGAGTCTAGAAATTTAAAATTTTTCAAAGTATTAAACATAACCAATTTTTTTTGGCCAGAGATGAAAGCTTCCATTCATTAATATGCAACTAGCAATACTACTTGAAATTTAATAAAATACAGAAAAAAATTACTGAACATGATTACTTTTTAGAATCTGCAAGTGTTTATTTTCAGAATTTTCATCAGCTACTCAGCTAATATTTATTTTCAGTGCACCTTTACTCATTTTAAGCCCTTATATTTTTTGTTTGATCTTAAGCATTCAGACTATTAAAGTGTATTCATTATTTTGTATGAATTCATCTATTAAACATGAGTTCCTTAGTCTATAATCAGTCTTTTTTCATTTATTTTGATTGTGCCCTGAAAATTTTAGCATTTTAACGTCAGTAGAATAAGCTACTTGGTATGGACAATGTTGTTTTTGTTATCCTGCAGCCTAGAAAAGCCAAGCCCCACTTACTCATATCATGGTAGACTGAGGTTGCCTCTTTTGTCAAGAACAAAGGTGGTTTCCGTGGTGACATAATCTCAATTTTCATAAGTTCTTCACAACAATGCTTCCACTGGCCTAAGACAGACAGAAAAAAGGTAGATTAGTTTAAAACAGAAATGTAAAGATATATATTTCGTTTTTAATAGATAGCAGTACATTTTTGCTTTGAATAAAAATCAGTGAATTTATAAATAAAGCAGTGCCTTAAGGGAGGCTTGCACAAAAACCTAATACTACCCATAATTTCAAAGTCCAGTTCTGAACATAAAAGTAATCTATTTAAAAAATAAAGTTTGGCCGGGTGCAGTGGCTCACACCTGTGATCCCAGCACTTTGGAAGGTCTAGGTGGGCAGATCACCTGAGGTTAGGAGTTCAAGACCAGCCTGGACAACATGGCGAAACCCTTCTCTACTAAAAATACAAAAATTAGCCAGGTGTGGTGGCATGTGCCTTTAGTCCCAGCTACTTAGGAGACTGAGGCAGGAGGATCGCTTGAACCCAAGAGGCGGAGGTTGCAGTCAGCCAAGATTGCACCACTGCACTCTAGGCTATTAAATACTATCCTATTTCACTAAATGGTTAATAACTACTTCAAAATTTCTATTTATTGCAAAAGCTTGTGCAGGTTCTCTTCTTTTAAATATTAAACATTAGGTATTCAAGATGTTGAAAGGTTAAACAATCGACTGAAATATAGTTCCCTAGAAGGAAACAGAAAAAAACATAAAGGAGGGAGGTTCTCAAAAATGGTTTCAACTATGAAAATTTTGATTAAGAAAGAAAAATTATTTACTTAGCAATTGTCCCTTTAAGATGATTATCATGTTTTTTCAAAATCATTTAACTCTATAAAAACACTGTATTTTCATTTAGGTAAAAGGTATATAAAAACCTATTACTATAAAATCATATCACTCAATAAAATTCTGAGTCAAATTTGTTTTAGGAAGGACACATTAAATAAAGGCATTTGGAATAAGAAAAAAATACTCTCGAATAAAATGTTTCCACTATTAAGTTAAAATTTAAGTGTGGACATTATTAATTTTTCTTTTAGTTATGCTTCACACTAATTAAATCTTAAATTTTGTAGATTTCTCCTGAGTGATGTCCAAAAATTTAATCTTTTCATACTTATTGTGTACCTGCATGCTGGATAGCAACTATGCTAGTTCCTATGTGACTATAGATTAATTTTGTAAGAGTAAGTTACTGACATTCACCTTCTTATAGCCTATCTTATACTGATAGAAAAGTAAATATAATACACTTAGGTCATATATCCATATTCAGTATCTAACCTGGTTATTTTCTATTACTTAAAAACTAAGGACATTTCATGTTTAGTAAAATTACTCATTTTTATATAATTACTCATTTTATAGTAGTTGAATATACTACTATAGTAATATATGCATAAATTTAAAATCCATCACCCTTACTTAAGAAACATAAAAAAGCCTTTCAGTATGTTTTATTATGATGCTAAGCACAGAATACGGTAAAAATTTCCAAATAAACCACATAGTAACTGATAAAGGGAATAAATTATTGAGTACAACGCTTCAAAGGTTGAAAGCACATCTAGTAGGATCTGAGATCTGATAACTTATTCCTCCCCACACTTCCTTTTGTAGATAAATATATAAAAGCCAGTTTTTTTCTTCTTGGGGGGCAGGAAAAAAAACCCTTATCTAATGGAAAAATAAACACTTTAAACTGGCACACATTTCTGTCACATTCTTAGATAAGTTATTATGAAATACAGTATTTTCTCTATATTGGTAAATAAAAGCATTTCATTGTTAAATTAGTAGCAGAATACTAGTTACAATGAAAACTGAATATAATGCCACATTATTTCATATGTTACTAAAGACAGAGGTACAAACGCCTTCATGGGTTAAGACTACAATTGAAACATTTATTTTGCCAGCAAATAAATCTCTATGCATAGTTATACATGATAGCCAATATACTAACATGAAAACAAGGGCCCAATATGAAACAGTAAATGAGTAGGTTTTGTTCACATAACAATTTATATATTAAAGATGTTTCCTAAAATACTATTTATTAGTGTTCCCAGTCAAAATAATTTTTTAGGCTAAGCTCCTAATGTAACTCAATATTTATGTTGTTAAATATTAAAATAAATGAAATGTTCCAAATCCGTCTTTTCTGTATCTTTTACCTATCATTCTTTACTCCTACTGACCATCCAGAACACGTGTCACTCCTCTTTCACAGGTTTAACTCACAAAGATTAACAGTAGCTATTACATCCCTCTTGCCCGCCAACATTCACCTGAGGCCATTCTCCCCTCGGCTAAACATATCTACTTCCATAACTGTTTCCTCCTGAGTTCTGATTATCTAACCCTCTTGGTTTTCTATTCTTTTTTTTTTTTTTGGGACGGAGTTTCACTCATGTTACCCAGGCTGGAGTGCAATGGCGCGATCTCGGCTCACCGCAACCTCCACCTCCTGGGTTCAGGCAATTCTCCTGCCTCAGCCTCCTGAGTAGCTGGGATTACAGGCACGCACCACCATGCCCAGCTAATTTTTTGTATTTTTAGTAGAGACGGGGTTTCACCATGTTGACCAGGATGGTCTCGATCTCTTGACCTCGTGATCCACCTGCCTCGGCCTCCCAAAGTGCTGGGATTACAGGCTTGAGCCACCGCGCCCGGCCTGGTTTTCTATTCTTAAATAAGGCAAAATAATTCAAATTTGCTCTCAATATTAAATGTGTCTTGCTTTATTCTGCCCTGAATATTTATCCTGTACTTTGTACTATGTACCATACTTCAACCAGGATCACAGGAGGTTGCACCTGTCACTAGAAAAGTTAAAATTTTAAAGTGTAAGTCAATTTTTTAGTATGGTATAAATACCTCTATCTTTGCTTCATATATCCATACACAATGAATTCTGAATTTTGAAGTATAAATGTAATAGAATTTGTACTGCAAAAATTACATAGGTTGGCAGTTTTCATGCCAAAAAGTATTAAATACCAAAGAAGAAACCAGACCTGAGAACCAAGTTGTCATCACTTTCTTATTATGTTGACAGTAGAAAAATGTCATGAGATTCTTATCCCTCAACTCCCCATTTTAGCATGATAAATTATTTCACATAATCTAAAGAATGAAAGCATGAGATCATCTAATAGCAGTTGATATGCAGACTAGAAGATTCTGGTATTATCATGGTCATATTTCTCCTCTTGTTTTTATGCACATAAAAATTATAAAATACCAGAATCATTCTAAAAATAAATCATTTATAAGATTCTCTAAGACAGAGCATTTAAAAAAATGGTTACAATTTTAGCTATGATCAGCAAAAGAAAGGACATTGTTGTCTTTTAAGTTACACACTTGAGATCTGCTGAAATTTTTAGTTTTAGCAGAGTCTCACTCTGCCACCCATGCTGGAGTGTAGTGGTGAGATCTGTTTACTGCAACCTCTGCCTCCCGGCTTCAACTGATTCTCCTGCCTCAGCCTCCCAAGTAGCTGGGACTACAGGCGCATGCCACCATGCCCAGCTAATTTTTGTATTTTTAGTAGAGATAGGGTTTCACCATGTTGGTCAGGCTGGTCATGAACTCCTGACCTCAGGTGATCCATCTGCCTTGGACTCCCAGAGTGCTGGGATTATGAGCATGAGACACCATGCCTGGCACGAAAACTTTAGTTAAATAAATGTGGTACATGCTGATAAGCATGAAATGAATATCTGAATATTTATTGTCTAGGGATGGTACATAAGGAAAACAAGTCCCAAACAATCCAAGAGGGCCATGGAGGAAATCCTCTAGTTCAATGCTGTGAACCAGAAACCTTTTCAGGCCTAAGTTTTCTCATCTTTAAAGCAAAGAGAAATAATCTGTACTTCATAGAGTGTTATGAGGATGAATGAAATAATCTGGTATACGGGAAATAATCCATAAATTTAGACCCCTTTCTTGCCTCTTCCCCAACTTCTAAATTGAGGGCTGCAGGTATTAACTTTTCTTCATAGTGTTCCAGAAAACAGAGTTCTTAAAATGTCCCTAGGGTTATTTCCATGAGTTGCAGAAATAATTTCCCTTTTTGGAAATGTCTCAGTTTTCCACTGAATAGCATTCAACTGACAAAATACTGGTAGCATCCATCAGTAGGCTTTGTTTGATCAGGAACAGCCATCAACATTCTACAATTTCAATATAAAATTGTAGATAATAAATATGCTGTTAGACTTATTGTCAGTAAACACAAAGAACTGTTACGATTTCAATATTTTCCTGTTGATAAAATTCTTCCTTGAGAAATGTTAGAACCTCACATATTTTACACACAATAGCCCTATTATATTACCATCCCATAGTTTTTATAATCCATGTCATTGGACTGTATTATTGAGATGAGAAAATCATGTGTGTGATTTAAAACAAAAATAAAAACCTCTCTGGATGTTGTCCAAGAAGATGATAACAAATCTGGAGTTAAGGGAAGGCTACGAAAGTGAGACTCCTGAATGTTTCAATATTTTAGAATCATCATTATCCTGGAAAAGTTTTTTGTTCTTCAAATGGCTTTTTTTTTTTTTTGAGATGAAGTGTTGCTATGTCCCCAGGCTGGAGTGCAGTGGCACAATCTCGGCCTACTGCAACCTCTGACTCCCTGGTTCAAGCAATTCTCCTGCCTCAGCCTCCCAAGTAGCTGGGATTACAGGCATGTACCTCCAAGCCCAGCTAATTTTTCTATTTTTAGTAGAGATGGGGTTGCACCATGTTGGCCAGGAAGGTCTTGATTTTCTGACCTCATGATCCACCACGCCTGGCCTCAAATGGCTTCTTATCTGTTAGATCAAACACATTGCCTTCAACAGTTAAATCCTAACATTTTGAGAGAATATGGTCTGGTTGTTTTAGTGACCAAAGGAACTTCAAAAAGCAGGAAGTAGAGATGCTAGAATCGAAACGTATACTACACAGTAGTCAGTCAGCCACTGGAAAGAGACTGAGAGAAAAAAACATCAGTGCATTGATGATATACTACCACTTTTTCAAGAACATAAAAAATTCTTGCTACAAATTATAAGATTATAATTTTAAGATTGCTGTGCATATCCTTTCAGGCTACATGAATATACAACTACAAAATCCAAGTATCTATTTACTAAGATCAAAGAAATGCTGCCAGAAGGCTTCCATCCACTTCTGAAGATCTTCTCTATTGTCAACTGCAAAAATCTGAGTTATAGCTTGTCCAGGAACAGGATTGATGACAGAGAAATTATGGATTCTTTTATTGGCATCCTTATCCATTGCCCGGATTCTGGTTTCCTAAAAATTAAGAAAAAAATTGGGGTTTTGCATCAGAAAATTTCTGCAATGATCAAACAAATGTTTCACTGCTTAGCTGCCATATTTATATCTGATATAACCATAATCTTATTACTGATCATTTGAAATTTAAAACATCTAATTTTGAGAATTTTTTATATTCAAATTTCAATCTAGAAGTTTTTTAAAAAAGAATGCTTTATATTAAAAAACTGAATGTTTTTAAGTGTGCTATATATAGCACTTATGCTAAATTATATGAGATTAAAACATAACCCCTGTTTTGATCTAAGTAGAAGTTTGCTGTCTTTTCTATACATCTTAAAATTTCCAATAAAACAAGTACAGCATGTCATAACTGTAATGTGGATTATATGCTATATTTCAAACTAATAAAACAGAATCAATAAAGTATGTTTCTTATTCTAATATTCATGCATAATATCTAGTGCTATCAGTTAAAGCAGTAAAACCATAACTTAGTGTTTACTGAAGCAAAACAGTTAAGTTTTCTTCATTAACATTTATTTTGTATATAACATTCATTTACAAAGTTCATAAAGATCAATAAAGTAATACAATCCTTATAATGATAAAATTATTTTTAAAGTACGAGGAGCAACACTGCAACAAAGGCAATGGTTTCATTCACACTGACAGTCTAAACCTTTTTTCTGAGTGATACTATGTATACTATTGTGATGACACTTATTGATTCTACACTTAGAAGATTCTGTGAAGTATATTCTCAAGTCACACAGACACAACCATGCCTCATAGTAAGCTAGCAACTACATGTGGTTTTGACCAAGGAATAGTGGGGGATAAAGTCTGTATTAGAACTATTACACAAAGATAGAGATTTGATGCCTACAGAATGATTTCTTTACACTATTCTAGGGAAGTACTGTCCGGTATAAATACGATGTGAGCCACATATGTAATAGAAAATTTTCTAAAAAGAAACTGCTGAAATTAATTAAAAAATGTATTTCATGTAACTCAGCTTGTCCAGGAACATATCCAAAATATGTTAAAGGGTTTCATACTAAGCCTTCAAAATCCAGTTTCTATTTTACACTTACAGCACATCTTGATCTGGACCAACCAAATTGTTAAGTGTCTAACAGTCACTACAGGATGGTGGCTACTGCACTGTACATAGTGGTTCAAGAGAATCATGGTTAAGCCTGCTGTAATGTGTGACAAGAATATTCTGGCTGGTAGTATTAAAAGTTAATTAAGAAAGGCCGGGCGCGGTGGCTCAAGCCTGTAATCCCAGCACTTTGGGAGGCCGAGGCGGGTGGATCACGAGGTCAAGAGATCGAGACCATCCTGGTCAACATGGTGAAACTCCGTCTCTACTAAACACATTACAGCACATCTTGATCAACATAATAATAATAATAATAATTAAGAAAAGAAAGAAAGAAATTCTTCACTGAGTAAAGGGTGAAGAGACTATACAGTCACACATCAAAACCTATATATACATACTGTGGACATTATGTAGTTATTACAGAAGTAGCAGGGTTAGCAATAAAAGCTATCCATTCCCTGAAAAATGGATAAATACAGGCAGGTGAACACCATAAATACTAAAAAAGGAATTCTTTTCTGAAGGAATAAATTCTTATTCAAAACCACAGGGGAAAAATGTACGTTGTATAAAGTAGCAATGTAGCTTTGAACCTTTAGAGTATCACAAAATGGAATGATTGTTAACCATCTTAGAGATAGTCTATCCTGCCACTTAGAGATACTTCTATCTAGAAATCTAGGAATGTGCCTTTAGAGGACTGTAACGGGACTTATACCCAGTATCTTCATTTTATCATAATAGAGTCTTTTTACACTTCTATGTCTTGGTAATAAACTTTGTGAATTAACTCTTTTAAGTAATTATCTGTATTATGTAACAAATGCTGCCCTAAATGGTATCCTTGGACCTCAGGGATGCACCTAATCATCCACAGTAAATATAAAGCTTATTATCACTAGCAGAGAATGACTGAAACTCTAGGAAGAATCTTTGATATGCTACTCTATTAGACTAAGCAAAGGTTAAATCATAGTGGGGAAAAAACCCTCTATTGTTAATGTTACAAAAGAAAATAAAAAGCATTCTTGTTACTGAAATTGTGCTTCTCTCTACCAATTCCATTTTAATAAACATTTCTGACAACTTTATGGATTCAATTTTTAAATAAGGGAAATCTGATTTTTATAGATGAATTTGGGTATTTTTACCAAGGCATCATTTCAAATGAAACCACTACATAGAAAATCTGATGAACTGAATCATTTATATCCTTCTAAGAGAATACAAAAATATATAAATACTACTGTATATACTCCATTAATTCTGGTAGCCATAAATACCACTACATTTTTAAAACATAAGAGGTTTTTAAAAGGTGCAAATGAAATACAGAATTTGAATTAAATTCTACATGCTATCATCCAAAAAAATTTAACAGAAAACTTTTAACCACAAAATTACGTGTCAAAGAAAAAGTGATTAGCACAAGTAAAGTTTCTCAGAGTGTCAGGAAGTTCATGCAAGCTGTTTTTCAGTGTGGGAAAATATCAAAAATAGTGCTCAGGTCTTCACTTCCCAAAAAAGGAAGTGATTAGAAAACACTAAGGTGAATTTCAGGACTGTTATCATTATGGGCTTCTGTGTTTATATAAGGGAAGTATCTCTTCTTAGGGTATGAAAACAAGGAACCTGGTAATTCTCTGCCTCCCCCCTCCGACTATTTCTGCCAACTAAAATACTGCCTTACTCAGTAAACAGCTAAAAAATATTTTAAAATATAAACAATTGAAATAGGAAAAGAAGAACTCAAATAATGATTAAAAAGTTTTGTATTGATAGACGCAGATCCTAAAAATAATCTCCAATCCAACTCTTTGTGAGGAAACATGTTCTGTGAGAAGTATTCTATTAAGCCCAGCATTTCCGGTTTTGTTTTTGCTAATCTCAAAACTTCAACTGATCTAGGTTTTATAGTTAACTTTTCATGATATGTAAATAGATTTGAGATTATTCACTGTGAAATGTTAATCTGTAGCTGGCTTTGCTTTTTGTCAATCTGCAATTTTTCACTGCATGAGATGGTGGTGTTACCTAGAGAATGCCAAATGAAATCAATAAAAATATAATCTGGGAAGTCAATTTTGTAATGAAACAAACTCTAAAGTCACAGGAAAGCTTCATTTAGGTTTTTTAAAATTATTGTTTTGAATTAAAATTGTACTTCCTCCTCTTCATTTCCATGTAAATGAAAAATTACTAGGTCAGGACTAGATTTATAAATTATTTATCTTACTTTTCTATACAACCTTAAAAAATATACCCAGACTATGGTCTCTATGTGCTCTTTCCTACAAAGAAGAATCATAGCTTTTTGGAGAAATGGCTGACTCTGGGCTTGGGCCACAAAACGTATAAGATTATTCTGGAACATCTTGTCCTGTCAGAAATCTAAGATTCCTAGGGTTATGCCAAAAGGACTCAAGAGTCAACTAGAAGAGGCTTTTACTAGTCAAATGTCGGACAATTAGAACATCGATTAGAATAGCAACAGCAATGAACAGATACATGACACGTCTTTAAATCCACAAATTCATAATGATATTTAAAAACTAACTCATTGGTCACCTGTGAAAGATGGTAGGAAACTATCTTACTGTTTTGGTAACTGACATATAAATAGAAAAAAAAAAAAAAAAGTACTTATTCCTGTCTTCCCTGTATGAATTGTACTTCAGGGTAACCAAATGGCTGATGAAGTAGAGGGATTCCAGCTATAAAAAAATGTAAAAATACTACCGATTTACAATCTTTAATAAAATAAAGGATCTAAACAATGGTCATCAGTGGTTGTTGAGTGGAAGAACTAGATATATGATATGCTTCTTGATGAAAGTATAGGACCCATCCTAAAATGTATTCTTACTAACCAACCAACAAACCTGAATATGATACAAAAATATAAGAAAAAAGGCAGGCTGGGCATGGTGGCTCATGTCTGTAATCCCCGCACTTTGGGAGGCCAAGGCGGGCAGATCACCTGAGGTTGGGAGTTCGAGACCAGCCTGACCAACATGGAGAAACCCCGTCTCTACTAAAAATACAAAATTAGCTGGGCTTGGTGGCGCATACCTGTAATCCCAGCTACTTGGGAGGCTGAGACTCGAGAATCACTTGAACCTGGGAGGTGGAGGTTGCAGTGAGCAGAGATTGCATTGAGATTGTGCCATTGCATTCTAGCCTGGGCAACAAGAGTGAAACTCATTCTCAAAAAAAAAAAAAAAAAAAAAAGAAGAAAAGAAAGAAGAAAAAAAGAAAGAAAAAAGGCAACCCAGGGATGCAATTAGAAAAATCCAAACTATGAAAAACCAGACTATGATAAAAGACCAATTTCTTCAGTAAATAAATTGTGTATGGGTGGGTGTGTTTGTGTGTGTGTGAGAAGTGGGCAGTCTGAGGTGTGAGCATAAGCCAAAATATTATTATTATTATTAAACTCTTGAATTCAGGGGTACAAGTGCAGGTTTGTTGCATAGGTAAACTTGTGTCATGGGGTCTGTTTGTAAAAATTATTTAATCACCCAGATATTAAGCCTAGTAGTACTCATTAGTTATTTTTCCTGATCTTCTCTCTCCTCCCACCCTCCACTCTCCGACAGGCCTCAGAGTGTGTCATTCCCCTCTACGTCCATATGTTCTCATCATTCAGCTCCCACTTATAAGTAAGAACATGTGGTATTTGGTTTTCTGTTCCTGTGTTAGTTTGCTAAGGAGAATGGCCTCCAGCTCCATCTATGTCCCCGAAAAGGGCACGATCTAGTTCATTTTTGTAGCTGCAGAATATTTCATGGTGTCTGTGTACCACATTTTCTTTATCCAGTCCACCGTTGATGAGCATTTAGGTTGATTCCATGTCTTTGCTATTGTGAATAGTGCTGCAATGAAAATATGCATGCATGTG